CCCCCCCCCCAAAAAAGGTTGTCGTCACACCCCCTAGCCCCCCACCCCTGCCTGGTTGTTTTGCACTAGCCCAGCTGTGCGTGTGTGTCCCCCCCTCCCACTCCCTTTTACTTTCAGTATGAAAATAAACGTCATTTCTGGCTGGTGACGCCGGCTGCCGCCTGCTCCGCGTGCTGGGGGGGGGTCACCCCATTGCTGGGGGGGTGTTTGCACGGTGGTGGGGTCTGGTGGGATGGATCCAGCCCTGGTGAGGATCCAGGAGCTGCACGGAAAAGCTGAGCCTGACCCCTTTCCCCAAACCTGCTGCACCCACGGGTGATGGGGAGGGGAGGGGCAAGACAGCCCTCGTGGGTGCTGGCACTGAATCATTTATCAATCTTCATAAATATGCAGATGAGCAGCGGGGATGGGAGCCCTCTGCCTGCCGGCGTTAATTATTTAACGTGGAGGAGATGATGATGTGCATCGCCGGCCGCCTGCGTGGCACGTGGCTCGGCCTTGGCTCTGGCACCCGCTGGCCCGTGCCGGGTGCTGCCCCCTGAACCCCCCCCCAGCCCCAGGGACCCCAGGACCCCGGCAAACCGGGCCGTTTGATCCCTTTCCCCACCATCTCTTGGAAAGAAATGGGCCGAGCTCGGCGCTCGCTGCCATAAAGCCACGCTGCGCTAATGCGCTTTCATTAAGTGGGAGCGATCTAATGATAATAAAATGGCACATTTAACATTAAAACATTTAACTTGACTCCTAAGCGAGTGTGTCTCTCCGCGCTGTTCCAGCTCCATCTTCATGAGGCTGACAAAGCTCCTTAATTTGTTTCCAGGGAGCGGGTGCTTGGCGGAGACAGCTTTGGCACCGCGCGGCACGGGGGGGATGCTGGGATGTGGGGGGACGGGGTACCAGGATGCTGGGATGTGGGGATGGAGAGGTGCTGGGATGTGGGGGATGGAGAGATGCAGGGGTGCTGGGATGTGAGGGTGCTGGGCTGTCAGGATGCAGGGGTACAGGGTGCTGGGATGTGGGGATGGAGAAGTGCTGGGATGCAGGTAGCAGGGATGCAAGGGTATGGGGATGCCAGGGTGCTGGGATGTAGGGGATGGAGAGATGCTGGGGTGCAGGGATGTGGGGATGGAGAGATGCCGGGGTGCTGGGATGTGGGGGATAGAGAGATGCTGGGGTGCACAGATGGAGGGGTGCCAGGATGCTGGGTGATGGGATGGTGGAATATGGGGACATGGAGATGGAGGGGTGCAACATATAGGGACACCAGGATGCAGGGAGATGGAGGGACGTGAGGATGGAGGGGTGCAGGGGTTCCAGCACGCTGGGGCTGTAAGGACACCGGGATGCAGGGACACAGCCGCAGGCCACCACCCTGTGGGCACAGCCAGGGTCCCACACCTACAGCACAGCCCGGAGCACGCCGGGGAAGCGGGTGATGGCGAAGGGGGCCGTGCTGTGGGATGGCTCCTCTCCCAGGCTCAGCTCACACAGCAGCTTCCCCACCACTGGTGCCAGCTTGAACCCGTGGCCTGAAGGAAGGAGGGGAGAGGTGTTGGGGGGCACAGCCAAGCCCACCGCCCCTGGCCAGGTCTGGGGTGCCGGGGGGAGCCCTCACATACCGGAGAAGCCGGCCCCAATGATGATGTTGCTGAACTTGGGGTGCCGGTCCAGGATGAAGTCTCCATCCGGGGTGTTCTGGGGGAGCCATGATGAGAGTGTGGGGTTCCAGGGTCCTCTCCTGGACCCAAGTTGTGGGGGGAAGGGATGGGAAGGGCCACCTTGGGGTGGAAGAGGGACCTCGGACACCTGGGTCCCACTACTAGGGGGGATCTCACCGTGTAGAGGCAGGTCTCCACCACAGCTGGCTGTGGGTCCAGCCCGGGCAGGTAGCTGCTGATGAAGCTGCTCAGGAGGGCAACGTTGGGGCGTGGGGTGCCCGGGGGCACCCGGTCCCGCTCCTCAGGGTCGGTGGGGCTGCCGTGGTGGTAGCACACCTGGGGGGCAGCCAGTCAGGGGTGGTGGTTGGCCAGGGGATCCCCCCTCCACCACCGTGCCCTGCTCACCTTGACCAGCCCCGGGTACTCGAGGGCGGGCAGCCCGTAGATGCCGTGGGGGGCTCGGCTCAGCCCTATGGCCATGAAGCAGGGACCGGTTCTGCCTGCGCCAGGGCTCCCCTCCTTCTCTCTCCAGTAGCAGACGTCGATGCGCAGGGGCTGGGGTCACCACGTTAGCCCTGGCCACCACCGGGCTGCCCCACGGTGCCACCGACCCTTACCTGCAGTGGCAGACGGAGGCCCAGGGGTGCCACGAGGGCACCGGTCCACGCTCCGGCCGCGATGATGAGCCGGGGGGCTCGGTACACCCCGGCAGAGGTGGTGACAGTGACCACAGCCCCCGGTTCGATGCGCAGCACCTTCTCCCCATCCCGCAGAGTGCCCCCGTGCCGGCGAAAGACATCCTGGGCGAGGATGGTGATGGGAGGTGGCTGCGGGGCCGGAGGACCCCCATCATATCCCCCTCGGCAGCACCCACCTGCACTGCCCGCAGCGCCCGGTCAGCGAAGAGCACCCCGCCGGTGCCATCCCACAGGGCCACCTCGCCGGCCCGGAGCCGGAGGCCGGGGAAGCGCTGGGCCAGCATCGTGGCATCGAGGACGTGGCCGTCACCCAGGCTGCGCCGACAGCCCTCCAGCTCCGGGTCACCCGCCGGCCCCAGAACCACCAGCCCCGTCCGCCTGTGCCCCGCAAGCTACGTCAGCTCTCCCCTCGCCCCCTCCCCCTGAAGAACCCCCCCTTGCTTTGCCCCTGGGGGAAAACAAGGTGCAGCAGCACCGGTGATGCTCGGGATGCTGGGCAAGGCTGCGTGGGATGATGCGTGGGGTGGGTCTGGATGCCACCATCATGCTTACCCCCCCCCGAAACACAGCAAGCTCCACCAGCCCTGACCCTGTCAGCAGGGGATCGTTTAGATGCTCATTTCCTTAATGGCACTTTCTTTACAGAGTCCCATAAATTACCCAGAGCCAGCAGCTGCCTCCCCACTGTGGGGACCGGGGTGGCCGCATCCTGCCCTGACGCGATGGCCACAGCCCCCAGCCCGGCCCCGTGGGGAGGGGACGGTGCCCGGTGGGGGCTGCATCCCCATCCCCGTCACCTGTAAAGGCTGGTGCCGGCCTCGGCCTCCAGCCGCTGCCAGAGGTGGAAGCTGTCAGGCATCATGCAGGCGTAGGACATCTGGGGGTAGGCGCTGCGGGTGATGCGGCTCTGCCCGTGCGAGCTGCCCCGCGAGTGGGGCAGCATGAACTGCAGGAAAAGGGGGACATGGGGGTGACCCCGGCCACCAGAAAGCCCTGACCCCCACCAGCCCCGCGGGCATCAGCGCTGTGCCACAGCGGGCACCTGGGGACACAGCCCACCGGGGTGCTGGCAGGATATGGGGGTGCTGGTGCTGGGGACATGGGGTCCTGGCACTGGGGACATAGGAGTGCTAGTGCTAGGGACACAGGAGTGCCAGCACTGGGATCACAGGGGTGCTGGCACTGTGGACTTGGGGGTCCTGGTGCTGGGGACACGGGGATCCTGGCACTGAAGATATGGGAGTGCTGGCACTGGGATCACAAGGGTGCTGGCAGTGGGGACATGGGGATCCTGGCACTGGGGACATAGGAAGTGCTGGGCACATAGGAGTGCTAGCACTGGGATCACAGGGGTTCTGGCACTGGGGACATGGGGGTTCTGGCACTGGGGACATGGGGGTTCTGGCACTGGGGACACGGAGGTCCTGGCACTGGGGACATGTAGGCACTGACACCACAGACCAGGGGTGTGGGCAGTGGCTCCCCTCCGTGCCGTGGCAGAGGGAAGCCAGGTCTGCAGGTGCCCACCCCAGCACATCAGGGTTGGGGACACGGTGGGCTGGGGGGACCCCGGTACCTGCTCCAGCAGGAGGGTGTCCCGGTGGCGCTGGGCCAGGTGGTAGGCGGCGAAGGAGCCCTGGATGCCGGCCCCGATGACGATGGCGTCGTAGGTGGCCCGGCGGGGCTGGCTGGGGGCAGCCATCTCTGTCCTTGTCCCCTTCCCTGCGGACAGCCGGGAGCTGAGCCAAGGGGAGGGACGGGGCAGAGTCCGGCGTGGCGCAGCGGATGTGGTGGAGTGGGCGGTGGAGCCTTGGCCACCCTCCAGCCTTGGCATGGATGGTGGGGGCACATCCTTCCGGGCAGGAGCATCCCCGTTCCCTGCCAGCCGGTGCCCGATCCCACCGGGGAGGGCAGCTCATCCGGCAGCGACGGCAGAGCTGGCAGCCTTGGGGGAGTGTGGGGGGGGAATTCATCCCTTTTCGCCCCCGCACCGCTGCCAACAGGGATTTTTAATCCCTTCCTGGCACATGGCACCCTCCGCTCGCCCTGACCCCAGCACAAAGGACCACCAGGACCAGTCCTCTTCCCCTCCATAACCCCACACCCCAGGGGACCACAGGGCACTGTGCCCCCCCATCACCTTCACCCTCAACCCCACGGCACCAGCATCGGGATCAGAGCTAGTGAATGGGATAAATAAGATGGAAAATGGTTTCCAGTACCCCCCCCTTCCCTCCCCACCCACCACTACTGGTTCCAGCTGTGGTGGGACAAGGGGCTCCCTTACCCTCCCATTTGTGCCGATGGAAAACCCCCCCCTCGCTTCAAGGCAAACAGGTTGGTTTTTGTTTTTGTTTTTGTTTTTCCTCCAGCACAATTTATCACAGCCATAAAATATTTGCTTGCCATCTTTTGTTGTTGTTATTATTTTATTTTTTTTTACCGGGAGATAGGGGTGATTTAGGGCTCGCTGGAGCAGCTGGGATGCGACGCGGAGCATCGTGTCCCACCGGCTGCGGCGGATTTTGCAAGCCTGCAAAATTTCGGGGTGTGATTTGGGGCTTGGGAACACTCAGTGATGCTCAGGGGGGGGGTGGGGGGGGGGAGGATAATG